GTACGCACACAGAAACACACGCGTACAAGAGAAGCAGCAACGTAGGTCGCCCGAGTTTTCAAAAGCTACACCCAGTAACTACAAGAGAGGCATATGGTGGACATAATCGAAATCGGTGGTCAAATTATCATCTACCTGATACTATATCGTCACTATATTACCACTTTGTTACGACTTAAATACCTGGTAGATCTTCAGCTAGTATTACATATACGTTTCCTTAACCATTCAGCTAACTAAAAATCCCTATATAGATTACGACTATATACTAGGTTAAAATTTCCTACATGCACAACCAGGCCGCTTACTGGCTTTAGCAATTATGATTACTAGAACTAGCGCCTCCAGCATAGACACAGCGCTTCTAAGAGTATTATCCTAGCCCTAGCAGTTTAAACTTTAGGAAAAAACTCGGACAACCACTGAGGTGCTCCGAGCTTCAAACACCCACTCTACTGGGAATAGCAAAAATCCAGGTCCACCCTCCTATGCGAGATCAAGTAAGCACGGGCCCAGACCTGACTTCAATCAATGTCAGCTCTGACCAAATACTGGCGTCAGTAATAATACCAGCACTACAATCCCTCAGATACACCGCTAGAAACAGCAGTATAAACAGTAGTTGCAGTAGTAGAAATACAAGACTCGGGCTCCTTGAATCTTACTGGGCACCTACTAGGGGTGAGTGAGCGTAAATAGTGCAGTAGTACCAGCGCAAACGGCTACTGTCACTTAAGACTGAGTTAAGTTAGGCGGTGTTTCTGGCTACATCTGGAGAAAGCGGTTACGCCCGATTCCTGCTTGGTCATCTCGACTTTGTCTTGTCACCGGTTCAAGCGGAAAAGGGTTTAGAGTGGGCTAGATGGTGACGCATCTACTTCCACTATACCTGACTGTAGTCACCGTCCCTGCTCCCGGGCATATGGTGGACATCATCGCTTGCGATGGTCGAACTAACACACACCTGCTGGCTACACGGCGCGTTTACAGGGAACGACAGTTAAACGGCCTTTACAGAAACCTAAATGCGAAAGGGAACCTGCATTCGGTGGAAAATCCGTCGAGAATTGAAAGTGGCAGTCCCCACGGCACGGAAAGGACTACACTGCAAAATTTCGCGGAGCCGACGGCACCACCGCAAAATTGGGACTGTGGACTTCGTGTCCAACAAGTCTTTCTTGCAGTATGCGTCAATGGCTGGCAAACTATTTGTACCCCACTACCTAATCACCCTGAAAAAAAAGAAGCTCATGCACGGCGAGTTTAACGTCGTGTCATGGTGCCAGCGGCCACCAACGCGACGAAGGCTTCATAGCGGGCCATATGAAAAATGCGTATGATGACATTTTTGACGAAAAACGGCACATCGCATGATGAAATTCAATGGCTCTTGCTGCAACGGCACCGTATAGCCTCATCCTGTAAGCGCTGGCGTAATGCAAAGTGAAAGTTTGTTTGTTTCCCGAACTTTTCTTAAAAGAGAACTGCTGACGAGGCATTAAGTTTCCAGATACTGAAAACTGCTGCCATTTACACTAAAAAGGCGTCGATGACACATATGGTCAACATGTACTTTTCCTGTGTGGCCAGGTTGCATTTTTATTTACATGTTGATAGCCAATGCCACAGAGGATTACTTTTGTGCGCTCTCCTAATACAGCTTTCAAAATTGATGATGGAGCATTGGCTGTTTCATTTAGTCCTAGTACTAGACTAGCCTACTCCACGATCCACGGCATAAGTCGTAAATACTCCTGAATATTTGTGAGGAAGTAGTAGAGGTGAATAACCAGGTCCAACCCAACATATGAGTACGTCGATGTGATGGCGACGAGAGAAATTTTGAAGGTCGGCATGCAGCATTCGTCATGTTGCAATAGCATTTTGACTTGAGTCACAGCAGCAACCGAATTTCCTGGAAGTATTGCCGCCCCACATGGCCCCAAGAGGGCAAGAAATAAGGTTTTATAAGCGGATAACAACAAACACTGAAAAGGCAAGGTAGATAAAGCACTAGTGCGAACGTTAACAATCTCAAAGCTGCATTGTGCTGTTTATAAGACATACTGTTGCCGGTGAGAGCTATTTTCAAAAGGCCTTTAAATATATTGAAGGGTGACAAGGTGAATAGTGGTATGGGTCTAGCAAGACAAAATTGTCTGATAAAGACGGGTAAAAACCGGGCATGTGGAAAAGCAAGGTGGTAGCCATCGAAGCAAATCGGGAAAGGTATGACGCCACAGTGGGATTTATCGAAATGTTACTTTGTAAGAAAACAACCTCAAAACTGCAGTCTTATATGTCGTAAAGCAGTAGACCGAGAATCCACTACAGTGGAGCCTCGGGTGACGAGCAGTTCCATCCACGAGCATTTCAGGCAACGAGCGAGCTACTCGCTGAAAATGTGTTTTGATTGAGGAGCTTCAAATCAGTCAACGAGTTGCCAATACGTGTAAGTGTGCCTGTGGCCGCCGTTGAGTCTTGCTCCCAGGGCATGGGTTCTTGGTCATCTGCAGCCAATCAGTGAACTGGTTCGCGTTTCACATGACGAGGTCGATTCCGGAACGGATAAACTCGTTAACCGATGTTCCACTGTAATATACATAGAACAGATGGTATAGCACTAGTCACATAACCGCCTGGCCGGACGACGAATAGATTTTCGAGGAAACAGCGCACCGAACAGCAAATAAAAACTAACAGCGCTAAGGCTTATCGCTAGGTTGCTTTGATCGGCCCGTCGTTCCAAAAGACTGATTATAATTGAAGACGCTTTTTATGATGAGTTACAGGTGGGAAGTGATGTGCACAAACAGTGTGTGCGCTTGGCCACCTGTAGTTGTCTACTTCAGTCCGCTCAAGGTCGGACACCAATGGAAGGCTTGGTGAAAACAGAAGCAACGATAATCAACAGTCGGGTGCATTTAGGGCTCAAAGCTGCCCCACCTTCCAAACTTGAAGTATGGGGTAAAAATGGAAACTTCGAGCATACCTGCCGAGGCTTTGTTAACGTGCCATCAACGTCGAATAAGCAAAGCACGCTGTCGAGTTTTTCGGAAATCATGCGAGAAGATTACCCGGTGGAAGGAAATACCTTTAAAGTGTAGAAGTGATGAGTATGAATGAGGGTTATATTCCAGGTAGGTAAATTCGTCAAAATTAAAATTTAAACGTTAAATCAACAGAGTAATAAAATCAAGGCTGTGAATGTGGATGTTGTGTGGCCGATTATTCTTAGAATTCCTATAAATGAGTCGCTATCAAGTTTACTGAACACAAACGATGGACCGAAAGAACATAAAGACTTATAAAGAAAAGGTAGTCAATAAAAGTTATTAACGTGTTGTACGAAAAAAATACAGCCGTGGGAGATCCAGACAAATGGGGTGCCATTTTGGAACTGACTATAGGTGTCGGATGGCACTGTAGAAAACAGACGTCGCCAAGGGCGAATTTCCGGTTTAAAAAGTTTGTGACGGTGACACTGACTTTCGGCAAGGATGAGCATATGAGGGTGGTGGGCCATTTTTAATACAGGGTAACAAATATTTAACCCCTTCACCGGTGGCAGTCTCCGGTTTAACTTTCCCACTTTACAGTTTTCAGAACAGCTTAAGATGTCCTCTAGTGGCAGTCTCTAGCTGGTATATCTAGATCCCTTATCCCAGTTTATAGTTGTGAGTACAATCAGACCTTCCCTCAGTATAGAACATTGAAGATTTTGAAAAAGCCCGTTGGAAAAACAAGCCTAGTTACAAGCATATATCGAGGCAATATAAATAATTACGAGATTTAGCCATTTCAGTCTACGATCGTAGATATATGGCATCACGTGTGTAAAACAATAAAAAAAGTGTTTCGGTCTTCCATCACTACGTAAGAAATGGCACA